GAAAATGCCAAACAGGACCTATATTACTCGGGAGGAAAAGGCACTCGTCACCACATCTTCAATAAAGGTAAGTGTCATTTATTCTTCATTTAGTGCATGCACAATATATATTGTGCATGTATCCTTCTTTTTGTGTGTAGGAAAATGTATATTTCATGTGGTAAAAATTTTTAGTAGGTTGGTAGACAGCAACCACCCAGGGAAGTACTACCGTCCTGCCAGATGACTGTGAAACAAAAACCTGTAATTGTTTTGCATGATGGTAGGATTGCTGGTTTCTTTTTCTGTCTCATAAACACGCTAAGATAACAGGGATATCTTGCTACTCCTACTAACACTTTGGTCACACTTCACAGACACGCACATGCTAATATATTTTACATACATCTAGGTTTTTCTCCTTTTTCTAAATAGCTCTTGTTCTTTTTTATTTCTTCTATTGTCCATGGGGAAGTGGAAAAGAATCTTTCCTCCGTAAGCCATGCGTGTCGTATGAGGCGACTAAAATGCCGGGAGCAATGGGCTAGAAAACCCCTTCTCTGTATACAATTACTAAAAAAGAGAAGAAGAAAAACTTTATAAAACGGGGTTGCTTAAATGTGCGTGGATGTAGTGCGGATGACAAGAAAACAGATGATTGCTGATGTTATGAATGAAAAGAAGTTGGATGTCCTGGCCCTAAGCGAAACAAAGTGAAGGGGGTAGGAGAGTTTCAGTGGGGGGAAATAAATGGGATTAAATCTGGAGTATCTGGGGAGAGTTAGAGCAAAGGAAGGGTAGCAGTAATGTTAAATGATCAGTTATGGAAGGAGAAAAGAGATATGAATGTGTAAATTCAAAAAATTTATGTGGATTAAAGTAAAGGTTGGATGCGAGAAGTGGGTCTTTAATAAGCGTGTATGCACCGGGGAGAAGGAGGAATGCAGAGGAAGGAGAGAGAGATTTTGGGAGATTTTTAAGTAAATGTATAGGAGCCTTTGAACCAAGTGAGAGAGTAATTGTGGTAGGGGGACTTGAATGGCTAAAGTAGGAGAAACTTTTAGAGAGGGTGTGGTAGGTAAGTTTGGGGGGTGCCCAGGTTGTAAATGATAATGGGAGCCCTTTGATTGAACTTTGTATAGAAAGGGGTTTATTTTATAGGTAATACATATTTTAAGAAAAAAGAGGATAAATAAGTATACACGATATGATGTAGGGCGAAAGACAGTATGTTTGTTGGATTATGTATTGGTAGTAAAAGACTGTTGAGAAAGACTTCAGGATGTACATGTTTAATAGAGGGGCCACAGATATATCAGATCACTTTCTAGTTGTAGCTACACTGAGAGTAAAAGGTAGTGGGATACAAGGAGAATTAGAAGCATCGGGGAAAGAGAGAGGTGAAGGTTTTTTAAACTAAAAGGGGGAAAGGCAGTTAGGGTAAGATAAAAAACGCTATTGGAGGTTTAGATGGGCTAATGAGAGCATAGGCAATGGGGTCGAAGAGGTAATGGGGTAGGTTTAAAAATGTAGTGTTAGAGTGTTCAGCAGAAGTTTGTGGTTACAGGAAGTGGGTGCAGGAGGGAAGAGGAGCGTTTGGGTGGAAGTGATGTAAAGGAGTAGTAAGGGAGAAAAAGTTAGCATATGAGAAGTTTTACAAAATTTGAAGTGATGCAAGGAGGGAAGAGTATATGGAGAAAAAGAGAGAGGTTAGAGAGTGGTGAAGCAATGTAAAAAGAGAGCAAATGAGAGAGTGGGTGAGATGTTATCAACAAATTTTGTTGAAATAAGAAAAAGTTTTGGAGTGAGATTAACAAGTTAAGAAAGCTAGAGAACAAATGGATTTGTCAGTTAAAATAGGAGAGGAGAGTTATTAAATGGGAGTTAGAGGTATTGGGAAGATGGAAGGAATATTTTGAGGAATTGTTAAATGTTGATGAAGATAGGGAAGCTTGTGATTTCGTGTATAGGGCAAGGAGGATTTAACATCTTGTAGGATAGAGGAAGAGCCAGTTGTGAGTGTGGGGGAAGTTCGTGAGGCAGTAGGTAAAAATGAAAGGGGGTAAGGCAGCCGGGATTGATGGGATAAAGATAGAAAATGTTAAAAGCAGGTGGGGATATAGTTTTGGAGTGGTTGGTGCAATTGTTTAATAAATGTATGGAAGAGGGGTTAGAATTACCTAGGGATTGGCAGAGAGCATGCATAGTTCCTTTGTATAAAGGCAAAGGTGATAAAAGAGAGTGCAAAAATTATAGGGGATAAGTCTGTTGAGTGTACTGGTAAGTGTATGTAGAGTTATAATTGAAAGAATTAAGAGTAAGACGGAGAATGGATAGCAGATGAACAAGGAGTTTAGGAAAGGTAGGGGGTGTGTGGACCAGGTGTTTACAGTGAAACAATATAAGTGAACAGTATTTAGATAAGGCTAAAGAGGTCTTTTTGGCTTTATGGTTTTGGGAAAAGGCGTTTATGACAGGGTGGATAGGGGAAAAGGAAAAATGTGGCAGATGTTGCAAGTGTATGGTGTAGGAGGTAGGTTACTGAAAGCAGTGAAGAGTTTTTACGAGGATAGTGAGGCTCAAGTTAGAGTATGTAGGAAAGAGGGAAATTTTTTCCCAGTAAAAAAGTAGGACTTAGACAAGTATGTGTGATGTCACCGTGGTTGTTTAATATATTTATAGATGGGGTTGTAAGAGAAGTAAATGCGAGGGTCTTGGCAAGGGGGAGGTTGGAGTTATAAGATAAAGAATCACACACAAGTGGAGTTGTCACAGCTGCTCTTTGCTGATGACACTGTGCTCTTGGGAGATTCTGAAGAGAAGTTGCAGAGATTGGTTGAGAATGATTTGGTAGGGTGTGCAAAAGAAGAAAAAGGTGAATAGGAAAGAGTAAGGTTATGAGGATAACAAAAAATTAGGTGATGAAAGATTAAATATCAGATTGGAGGGAGAGAGTATGGAGGAGGTGAACGTATTCAGATATTTGGGAGTGGACGTGTCAGCGGATGGGTCTATGAAAGATGAGGTGAATCATAGAATTGATGAGGGAAAAAGAGTGGTGGTGCACTTAGGAGTCTGTGGAGACAAAGAACTTGTCCTTGGAGGCAAAGTAGGGGAAATGTATGAGAGTATAGTTTTACCAACGCTCTTATATGGGTGTGAAGCGTGGGTGATGAATGTTGCGCGAGAGAAGGCTGGAGGCAGTGGAGATGTCATGTCTGAGGGCAATGTGTGGTGTGAATATAATGCAGAGAATTCGTAGTTTGGAAGTTAGGAGGAGGTGCGGGATTACCAAAACTGTTGTCCAGAGGGCTGAGGAAGGGTTGTTGAGGTGGTTGGGCATGTAGAGAGAATGGAGCGAAACAGAATGACTTCAGAGGTATCAGTCTGTAGGGAGGAAGGCGGGGTAGGGGTCGGCCTAGGAAGGGTTGGAGGGAGGGGGTTAAAGGATGTTTTGTGTGCGAGGGGCTTGGACTTCCAGCAGGCATGCTTGAGCGGTTTGATAAGGAGTGTGAATGGAGACAAATGGTTTTAATACTTGACGTGCTGTTGGAGTGTGACAAAGTAAATTTATGAAGGGATTCAGGGAAACGGCTGGCCGGACTTGAGTCCTGGAGATGGGAAGTACAGTGCCTGCACTCTGAAGGAGGGGTGTTAATGTTGCAGTTTAAAAACTGTAGTGTAAAGCACCCTTCTGGCAAGACAGTGATGGAGTGAATGATGGTGAAAGTTTTTCTTTTTCGGGCCACCCTGCCTTGGTGGGAATCGGCCGGTGTGATAATAAAAAAAATAAATAAAAATTTTTTTCATACTTTTGGGTGTCTTGAATGGATTAATTTGATTTCCATTATTTCTTATGGGGAAAATTAATTCGTCTTATGATAATTTCGTCTTACGATGTGCTCTCTGGAACAGATTAACCCTTAAACGGTCCAAATGTATATACACTTTTTTCAATATTTGAAAGTATATAAAAAAAATGTACATCTTTTTTTTTTACATTTGAAAATGTGTAAAAAAACCTTTATCTACATTTTTTTTTTATATTTGAAAATATGTAAAAAAAAAACATAGATCTACTTTGGGAGCACTACGGATTTGAACGTCGATCTGTTTGGACCATTTAAGGGTTAATATCGTATGTCGGGGGTCCACTGTATTTGTAAAGTACCTAGGATAACTCAAAAAAGTCAGTGACTTACTTCCATTGGGGTCCTTTTATATTTACACTTATATTTACTTTTATACATACACTTTTATATTTACACTTACCTTGGAGGAGATGTTAGTTTAATTAGTTTGATGGAGGAGATGCTGGCAGAGGTTTAGGGTGGTGGAAGATAGCAGGGTGGCATTATGTTCATTGGCCCGATACACATCCAACAACATTGGAGAGTTACTTTCGTGTCGTTTTTCTATCACTTACTCACTTAACTTACTTGCTACACTGTTAATTCTACACTTTATCGCTGGCTGGCACTATATCAGTACCTGCTGCTTTAGTATTGTACATGCCGTAGAATCACTGAATCACTACAGAAGGCACATTCTCCCCTCTCTCTTCCTCCTCCACTTTGGTAATTTGCTACAAGTTTTTTCTTGAATTCTGTTGTGTTTCTTTCCTTCTTTACCACAGGGCTGGCACTAGAAGCTTTCTTAGGGCTCATTGTGGCTTATTTAGCAGTTACAAGCACTGAAGACAATGGAATAATACAAAATATATCAAATGTACACATGGAATCGTCCTCCCTGGCTTGTAAACAGTGGCACCCCAGCTGTACATGGAGTAGCCGGGCCTGCTCAGGGCACGCGGACATGTTCAGGACGAATGTCCTTAACGGAGTTCTTGGGCATTAGCCGAGTCAATATTTTGACGCAAAAACGTGTTGCTATCCGATTTTTCGTTACCTGAGAGTCCACTGTAATTTGAAATGTCTGTATTAGCGGAACGTACGTAGGTTTTTCAACTAGCTTGAATGTACAGGACTGACTTGACATCCTATTGTACATGGGTTCCAGTTAATTTTAATATACAGTTCACTGTCAGTCCATGGTATCCTAACTTTGTTAGTTATTGTATTTACAGATGCTTCCCATAATGATACATTTTTCATTACCACTTTTTTTTTTATTAAGGAGAAATTTATAGATAACATTTCACTTCTATTCAGGCCAGTAACGCAACAAGCCGGAAACCAAGTGACTATGAACTGCTGACCTTGGAGCATGTGTCCGGTATGACAGACAACTTGCTTGTTAAACTCTTCTCTGAATTCGAGTCTAATGAAATGTGGAAGAGATTCACATACACGTGTGGTATGCTTCCTGCGGCCTGCTCCAAATACTTCCAAAGCTTTGGAAGTGAACACAAGGCACGATCAGGCATGAAATCTCACCTTCAAGCCCACCTTAAAAGTCTTCTGGAAGTTCACAAAAGTAAGTAAAAGATGGTCCACTCGTATGTTTTTTGTGAAATTGGTGCACAGTAAGGCCCTAACTTATGACATTTCGCACTTATAATTTTGGCACTTTGGAACCAACTCGTATTTTCAATATTCTGTGAATTAAATTTAACTTTCCTTTTAAAAGTAGTAGCACCATTACCGTTGAGGTGTGCCAGTGGAGAATTAGTGGAGTATGTTACCTTATGGAGAGTCTCTCCAGAAAGGTGATTGTTTTGGTATCAGGGGAGGCATAACACTATTGCTTGGTGTAAACAAACTAGTTGTTTCTCTTATATTCATCTATATCACCAGTTATCAGCAGTTTGGAGGGATATGTTGTGTATCTTTATACGTATATGCTTCTAAACTGTTGTATTCTGGGCACCTCTGCAAAAGCAGTGATAATGTGTGAGTGTGGTGAAAGTGTTGAATGATGATGAAAGTATTTTCTTTTTGGGGATTTTCTCTCTTTTTTGGGTCACCCTGCCTCGGTGGGAGATGACCGACTTGTTGAAAAAAAAAAAATCACCATCTTGCTTTGTATCTGGATATTAACCATGACACTCAAATGGAATAAGTGATGCTGGAGGTGCCAAGAAGGCAGTTAGGCGTTTTTTTGAAAATTGTGGTCGAGTCGAGTTGGGAGGTGGTGGTGGTTATGGCTGGTAGGTTACTCTCACAGTTAATGTAATGAAGTTAAACTAATTACATATTCTTGTGCCTTAATCATTTACCTATGATAGCTGTATATATATAATTGTTGAATATGTTGCCATTGATAATAAAGGGTGAAAATGTTATTAACCCTTTCAGGGTCCAGACCCCCTGATAAAAACTTGTTCTCAGGGTTCAAAAGTTAAAAAAAAAAAAAAAAAAAAAAAAATAGAGAATCTTTTTCCAAAGGTAATGACACCAAAAGTATGAAATTTGATGGAAACTTGCAAATTATGCTTTTGCAAGGTTAGCAGTTTCAACAGTATTTCACCCACTTTGAGTAATATTTTAGGCCAATTCTATTGTTCCAGTCCACCAAATTCTTAGCTATTTCACTAGTATGCATTCCATTCTATCAACTGAGTTCAAGAAACTGACCACTTAACTATTTCAACTACCCAGTAAAGTGACCAGGTGTTGCAGTCTTATTCATAAAGTTGTTTTTCTGTATCTATAATATTATGAAAGAAATACATACTCCAAAACTGGGTTACCTGGAGAGTGTTTCAGGGGTCAACACCCCTGCAGCCTGGTCTGAGACCAGGCCTCATGGCGGATCAAGGGTCTGATCAACCAAGCCGTTACTGCTGGCTGCATGTGAACCGACGTACGAACCACAGACTGGCTGATCAGGTACTGACTTTAGGTGCCTGTCCAGTGCCTTCTTGAAGACAGCCAGGGGTCTATTTGTAATCCCCCCTTATGTATGCTGGGAGGCAGTTGAACAATCTTGCGCCCCCGACACTTACTGTGTTGTCTCTTAGTGTACTTGTGGCTTCTCTGCTTCTCATTGAGTGTGTGTTGCATCTCCTGCCGAGTCTTTCGCTTTTGTAGGGAGTGATTTTCGTGTGCAAGTTTGGTATAATCCCTCTAGGATTTTGCAAGTGGATATTATCGAGTATCTTTCTCGCCTGCATTCCAAGGAATACAGATCAAGGGACTTAACCATTCCCAGTAATTTAGGTGCTTTATCATATGTGAGCTGTGAAATTTTTCTGTACATTCTCCAGGTTAGCAATTTTGCCTGCTTTGAAGATGGCAGTTAGTGTACAGCAGTATTTCAGCCTAGAGAGAACAAGTGATTTGAAGAGAATCATCAGGGGCTTTGTGTTCCTAGTTTTGAAGGTTCTCATTATCCATCCTATCATTTTTTTTAGAAGATGAGGTAGATGCATTGTTGTGGTCAGCAACTGGCTTTCACTAGGCCTTAGAAATAGGTCCAAGGAATGCAACCTTATTTTTCCCATAAGTTTTTCAGTCTGTAAGTCTTGGAAATGATTGGTAGCGCAGTTTTCAGGAAGGTTTTCAATACATTGGCCATTTTCCACCAAGGCAGTGACCCAAAAAAGAAACTTTCATCATCATTCACTCCATCACTGTCTTACCAGAAGCATGCTTACACTTCAGTTAAAAAAACTGCAACAACACCACCCCTCCTTCAGAGTGCAGGCACTGTCCTTCTCACCTCCAGGACTCAAGTCTGGCTTGCCTGTTTTCCTGAATCCCTTGATAAATGTTACCCTGCTCTCACTCCAACAGCACATAGTCATCAAAATTGCTCATCTCCACTCGCTCCTATCTAGCACTCTCTCACACGCCTGTTGGAAGTCCAAGCCCCTTGCCAACAAAACTTCCTTTACTTCCTCCCTCCAACCTCTCTTAGGCCAATCCCTACTCCACCTTCCACCACAGCTTTACGCTTTCCAAGTCACACCATTTTGTTCCATCCTCTGAATGTCTGAACCACCTCAACAACTCCTCCTCAGCCCCCTGGATAATACTTTTAGTATTATCCAGAGGGACCTGCATGAATTTTGAATGTCCAGTGTTATTACTTAGGAACAAAGTCTTTTTCCTTTCAAACAACAGACTATAGTTCAGTATGTACTTAAAATGGAGGATGCATATGGTGGATGAGAATGTTATGGCTAGCAGGGAACTTCTGCCTGCCCTTTGTTTGATCTCACTTTGTGGTTGTTTTGTTTTCAAGGTATTATTTGGGAAAACTAGCCTGCATCATAGCTGTTTCAAAGACTTCTGGTACCGTAGAGAAGAAAAATTCTGGGACCCTTGAAATTGTTCAAGAAGCTTTTGGAAAATAATGAGACGGAGACTAGCATTGCATGTTCGTTTGATATAAACAGCTTGACCATTGTGCCTACTGCATTATCAAGGATAAAATTTGTATCTTGAGGTGTAATGAAGACTGCACTAAATTATTTGAAGTGGGTAGATGACTGGTCTCCATGGGAAAGTGGAACAGAATTCTTTCTCTGTAAATCATGCATGCCATAAAAGGTGATTAAAATGCCAGAAGCAAGGGGCTAATAACCTCTTCTGTATACGTATATTACTAAACTTAAAAGGAGAAACTTTCGTTAATCCTTTTCGGCCTCCTTGCTTCTGTGGGACACGGCTGGTGCATTGAAAGAAGAAGAAGAAGAAGAAGAAGAAAGATGACTGATGCCAAAACAGAGCACCTCTTAATAAAATGCTATGCAGCAAAATCCTTTGACTTAATCCTGAAACTGTGGCAGACTTGGAAATATAAATTCCTTAGAGAACGAAAAACCCTGAAATTAATGGAAAACTTAGGGTTGTATAGTATGTTTAAGTTGATGAGTATTCATGAACTTAAACATTTGATCATTTGTTGGGAATATTGGTATAAATGCATATACAGTGGACCCCGCATACCGTTGGGCTTACATAACGTTAAATCCGCATACCGCTACATTTTATCGCTAAGATTTTGCCTCGCATACCGCTAAAAAACCAGCTCAACGCTGTTCGTCCGAGACGCGTCTATGTGCGGCCTGAGCCACCCTCACATGTTCCGCCGGTGGCATTGTTTACCAGCCAGCCTCCGCGGTAACATCTAAGCATACAATCGGAACATTTCGTATTATTACAGTGTTTTTTGGTGATTTTATCTGCAAAATAAGTGACCATGGGCCCCAAGAAAGCTTCTAGTGCCAACCCTACAGCAATAAGGGTGAGAATTAACTATGAGATGAAGAAAAAGTCATTGATAAGTATGAAAGTGGAGTGCGTATCTCCGTACAGCTGCTGCTGCTGTACCACCGTCAGCTGCTGCTGCTGCTGTACCACCGTCAGCTGCTGCTGCTGTACCACCGTCAGCTGCTGCTGCTGTAGCACTGTCAGCTGCTGTGCTGCTGCTGCTGTAGCACCGTCATGCTGCTGCTGCTGCTGTAGCACCGTCAGCTGCTGCTGTGCTGTAGCACCGTCAGCTGCTGCTGGCTGTAGCACCGTCAGTGTGTGCGCTGTAGCACCGTCAGCTGCTGCTGCTGCTGTAGACCGTCAGTGCTGCTGCTGCTGTACACCGTCAGCGCTGTGCTGCTGTACCACCGTCAGTGCTGCTGCTGCTGCTGCTGCTGCTGCAGTACCGTCTGCTGCTGCTGTTTCATCGTCTGCTGCTGCTGTAGCATCGTCTGCTGCTGCTGTAGCACTGTCAGCTGTGCTGCTGGCTCTACCACCGTCAGCTGCTGCTGCTGCTGTAGTACCGTCTGCTGCTGCTGTAGCATCGTCTGCTGCTGCTGCTGTAGCACTGTCAGCTGCTCTGCTGCTGTACCACGTCAGCTGCTGCTGCTGCTGTAGTACGTCTGCTGTGCTGTAGCATCGTTTGGCTGCGTAGCACCGTTGTTGGTGTGGCTTATGAGATACCAAGAAACAATTAACCCAGAGATTAGCACCAGATAACCCAAAAAAGTCGTGTCATCGAAGACTGTCTAACTTATTTCCATTGGGGTTCTTAATCTTGTCTCCAGGAGCAACCACACCAGTCCACTAACACCCAGGTGAACAGGGAAAAAAAAATGCCTGGAACTAGTGCTCATATTGGTGAATTTAAAGCCAGCAAAGGTTGGTTTGAGAGATTTAAGAATCGTAGTGGCATACACAGTGTGATAAGGCCTGTTCTGGAAGAAAATACCAAACAGGACCTACAGTACTCAGGAGGAAAAGGCACTCCCAGGACACAGTGTCTCATCAGTCATTGCTGCATCTTCAATAAAGGTAAGTGTCATTTATTCTTCACTTAGTAGAGTAGTACATGCACAATATATACTGTGCATGTACTACTCTACTACTGTGCATGTATCCTTCTCTTTGTGTGTAGGAAAATGTATATTTCATGTGGTAAATTTTTTTTTTCATACTTTTGGGTGTCTTGCACGGATTAATTTGATTTCCATTATTTCTTATGGGGAAGATTCATTCGCATAACGATAATTTCGCATAACAATGAGCTCTCATGCA